ATCCGACCATTGGCAAAATACTAAAAATTCACGTTTTTTTACCTTTGTGATTTTTTTATAAAAAATCTAAAAAATATGCCATTCTGAATTTTTAATATGTTGTTCCTACATGTTAGGACTATCTTGGAAAAAAATTTCAGCCCAATCGAAGGTGGCATATTTTTGCTAGAATTTTTTTTGTACTTGTGACCCCTGAAAAATGACCTTGACCTTTGACCTCTGGATTATTTGACCCCTTAGGATTGAAGAGGAGGTAAAAAGAAAATTTTTGGTGCTAGCCGCATTTCTGTATCTCAATTAGAACCCGAGATATTCCATTTTTAAGTTGAAACTACAGTAGCGTTTTTCCGGGAAAGCTTTTGACTTTTCCGAGTTTTTTCCACGCCAAAATCCGTCAAATTTTGTGTTCTTTTCACCTGATTTTTTGCAAATAAATCCACGACCCCTTGCCAACCGACCTGTGCTTTGGCTTGAAAGGTGTCAGGAAGCAAATTGCTCGTGCTAAAGGGAGTGAGAGTGAATATTGCATGGAAAAATTTAACATAATTTCAATAATTATTTATAAAAAAAAATTAAAAACAAAAAAAGAAATTCTTTGGCGGTTTTCAAATTATTTAAAAAAAGCATCATTTTTTTATTTATTTATTTTTTAACGGATTGCTTGCTATTAACTATACAAATTCAATTAATGTAATTTTTGGTTCTTCGGATCACACTTTAGAAAATAAAACATTTACAGTCCTAGACTGACCGTTTGACCAATGAATGAGAAAGTTGGCATTGATTCAAAAGTTATCACACACTCATGATGGCAGACACAAAGACAACCTGTTCGTTGCGAACTTAAGTGATTAAATCGCCTTTTAAGACTTCGCAGCGGAAGAGTGACTCATTTTTTAGTATGTTCATATTTATATTTGCAAACATACCCATCAAGAAGTAATAATATATGCGAATAAACACGTCACCACACACGCGGCAGATGTTAAGTAATCGATTCCGTTATAGGGCATGGCGACAAAAACTGTACTTTTGCTAAAGTCGTTGGTTGTTTTTATTTATTTATTTTTAGTCTGGAGGAATGTTTTGAGCTTCATTTAATGATATAATGAAGTGTGATTTAATAACGTCGCGTGAGGTTTTAAACTGAAAAATAATCAAGCGTTTGAGGATTGAGCTCGAGTTTGTTGCGAAGCGCGATAAGTTTTGGTGACGAGGCGTCGCGATAACTCAAATAACACTCTTGAAGACGGCGGCGCAGTCAGCTCGGTTGGATTCTTATCACCGCAGCGAGGAATATGGCGAAGGCAATGCTTTGCTTTTGCAAGCACGATTTTATCAGCGATAGGACGAGCTAACTGCGACGAAAATTTAACTTGTTTGATTAGAATAAAAATCTAGATTGTTAACAAAAATAACGCAAAAATTACAATCGGAGAATTATAAAAAAATCAGTTTTGCTTTTAATGATATAACAAACTTTAATTTCATTAATCTGCATAATTAATTTAGATAATATCCCATTTAAAAAACCCAGTCATTTAATAAATAAAAACTTATTTGTTGAAACTGTTGAACATGATTTGAAAACAATTTATAAATATTGTTTATAAAATTTTCTCTTAAATTCAATGGTAGTTTGCAGTTTGCAAATTTTTGCAATGCAAAAAAGCAACTTGACCCCGACGTGACTCGAACACGCAGCCTTCGGAACTGGAGTCCGACGCGCTACCATTGCGCCACGGAGTCGCTGGCAAAAGGAGGCGCTTGCAAAGCAACTTGACTTCTTTGCCAGACAAGATAATCGGCTCAACGCAAGACTTGAGCCCAATAATAGAACACGCAGAATGAAGGAGAAACGTCGAGAAAGTGAACCGACTCGATTCTGAATTAAAAAGTGGCCAAGTTCATTGCCTTTGGAAGAAAATAGAATCGCATTTGATTGTCTCAAACGCAGCGCATTCACCTATAATTACATTTTTACATAATTGATAATTATTTTTCCATGCTAATCGGCGTATGTGTAAAATTATAAGAGTATAAAATATTCAAGTTTCGGCAGTGGAAAAAAAGAGGTCAATTTCCTATGTTTTCTCTTTCTGATTCAGTGCGGCAATTGACGAGTTTAATGATTTTAGCTTATATATTACCTAATTTTTTTGAAATAGTTTTCTAAATAATTAAATAACACCTTAATTTATTCTCCGTGCAGTATCTATTTGATTCTAAAGAAAATAATCTTTAATTTTGTGTTTTATTTTTAATACATTTTAATATTTATAGTAATAAATTAATTCAAAAAACAATTTTTTTTATAAGAGCCATTAAAATTGTTTTACATTAATTCAAAAGATCAAGTGTAGCTTTCCGGCGCTCAGCTCAACTTTCCGTTGCAGAGGTGGCGCTTTCTCGACTTTTCTGTTCGTTTATCGATTTATTCTCCGAGGCGACCCTTTGCAAATAATACGCACATCTCATTCTATTATAACTTCCAGTTCAACATCTAAACTATACACATGCTTGGCTTGCGCCGGTCGGGGCGGGTGGATGAATCAATGCACATGACGCATCATCTGAACGCATGAATCGCTTAAAGGGGTGCTGATGAGACGTATATAGAGGAAAGCTTCAGGGGTCTACCGGGGGCGGACAAAGGCGCCCTCATTCACAATCGCTTTTCCACCCCTGAACATCTACAGACGAAAACAGGGAGCAAAGTGCAGCAACAACAAATACACCGCCGATTTTTTTTATTGAAACGCAATGATTCACTTTTTAATAAATAATAATATTTCTGCTTAAAGATTTGTTCAGGTAAAACGATTGTAGCAAAGACAATGAAGGATTTTCATTTTGTAAAAAGTGCAACAGTATAATTTTTTTTTTAAAGATTTCCCAAACAAAAAAGGATTTTTTTTTATATATATTCAAGACAAATTTTTTTATTTAAAATGCGCTGAATTTAGTTTCTTGCGTTTATTTTAATTGGATAATTTTCTTACTACAAAACTTAAAAATCTTATTTAAATTTGTAATTACTGCGAGATTCAGCAAATTTTACTGAAAGTATAAGGATAAGTTGCATCTAAATAAAACTTTGCCAATACACGTCTCACTCACAAGGAAAGTCTGGCATTATTATTTCAAGTGTTCCTGAGACGGAAATGCTTTTTTACTGATTGAGAACTAACATAATGTTAGAAGCAGCCAAACAGGTCAGGAGTGCTAAGACTGTAATTTAATTCGTCACGAACTATAAAACAAAAGTGACTATTTCATAAAAAAATAAATAATTGTACTAATTGTAAGATTTTCAAGCATAGCACTTTTTTTTTAAATCTGATTCTGATTCAGGTTGTTGAAAAAGGGGCAGAAGAAGTTGTGAATTTTAATAAAAGTAATTAAGCTAAATTTGTTCTATTTCTTAAAAGTGAATAAATTCATCACCATCTGAAATAATCGCAAAATAGCAACTCTGACTCACGCTGATTTTACTCTCAACCTGGAGCAGTCATATTTCTATAAAATTCTGATTTAACGCTTGAAATAGCCGCAGTCGAGCGTCCGGTTTTCAGAAAGATTCAAAACAGAGAGCGCGAGCAAGAAGGAACCATAGCACGTGGGTGTTCTTTGCACGGCTTTGACGTCACATGGCGAACGTAGGCTAGATCAGCCAACAACGCAAAAGCGGTCGCCTCTTTGACGTCACTCGCGATCATGACGAGAGCGGTGATCGGGGGAATTTATTTAAGGGAGAAAACAGGAGAAAATTAATTCCCTCTGCTACACAATGGTAACCAGATATAGATCCTCAAATACCTTTTTTTCTTTCTTAAATTCTGTAGCATGCCAAATGGCTTCTGTCGAGTGTAGGAGGAAAATGTCAGTCCGACGTACTTGGCCAGACGCAGACTAATTGGGGAAAAATTTGAGGGAGAAGTAAAAAAAAAACGGTGAAGCCCCGCAGAGGCACGCGAGATCATACCGTCTGGTTGTCGGGAGGACGCAGGAAGCAGAGGCGCTTTTCGTGCTATTTAGCCTTGGCAGTCTTATGTGACTCAAGGCTGCGATATTTATGCGGCCGCAGTGTTCAATTAAAGGGCCTTGTGCCCATTCCTCATTCCAAAATTGTGACAAATCAATACCCGTCTGGAAGCTATGAGCGCTCCAATATTGATTTTTGTGTCATGCAAAATACTATGAGGAGGAAAATGCGCATACGACGGATTAAAATAACCCTTAAAAAGGAAGGAAAAAATTGACCAATTCTTTAATGAAAGAATAAGTCTGACCAAAAAAGTAGCTACCTTTTTATTTAATTTAATCGCTTTTAATCCTGACATAACTTTTTTTAAACGTGTTTTTTTTTTAATAAGAATTATTGATATTTAAAATAAAAATTAAGAAAAACGGCCTGATTTAAATTTGTTTACCTCATTCATGATTTCAGTGACTCTTGTTAATTCATTTTGTTAAACATGAACGACTTTTTAGGTCACGGACCCTGACTCAAAAAGTTTCCACGCCAGCACCACCAAATATCAGAATATAATTATAGTGCGGATAATCATTTATTGACTTTGCAGATCCACTCACAATCAGTTTTATGTTTCAAATCAATATAGTACATGAAAAATTAAAAGCATTTTCCCTCAAAATCAAACAATCTTGTGAATAAATGTATCTAACCACGCGTTTTAAGTTTGTTGAATTTTGCAAAAGACGCAAGGTGTTGCGGAGTGGGTGTTCAAAGTATATGGAGCAAGAAGCGGGCCATTGAACTCTTCAGGGAACAAAGCATGCATGCTCCCCAACAGCCGGCGCGCGCGCTTCCTGGTGCTCAGTTAACTGTCTCTTCAGAGTTTAAATTTCTCTCCTACTTCTTATATACGTGGTGCAGTGTAAAAGCACTGATCTAAATAAACCCGCTCAGATTTATGCCGTGGACAATTGCGTCAATGGGTTGCTGTGTATTTTTAGCACCAAGGAATACTTTGAAAGATAATCAGATTTATTTTTGACAGTGACCACTTGCAGGAAAAATGCGAACAGATTTTTAATTTAAGCATAACAGACTTACTGGAGGCAGGTGACAGCCAAAGCAGTGAACATTTAACTCAAGCTCATGATGGTCGTTGGAGTCTTGGCGGCGCCATTCGAGGTGGTCCTCCAGGGCCCATTTTGAATTTACTTTCCTTCAATGTCATCAAAGATCCAAAGAGGACATGCTGAATGACTGGGAATTTGGCTAAAACCTAAAAGAATTAAAAAAAACTTTGAAAAGAATTATTTTAATAATTGCTGGCAGAAGATTATTATTAACTTTAATTTTTTGATCATCATATATCATATTATAAAGCAGAAAGGAATTGTGATGATGTTAAAATGAATCCATACTTAGCAGTTTACAAAAGTCTGATTTTATAAACACTCATAAACCATGCCTTTAAAATAAAATGAGTAACTAAAATCATAGCCAGCTAGATTTATTTTAAATTGAAAAAGTTTGATTGAAAGCTTCTGTATAGAATCAAATATTTAATTTCTTTTCCTCACAAGTATTATAATTTTTAAGGGAACTTAAACTAGTAGGTTTCAGTTTCCGAGTTAATATAAAATATTTTATTTACCTCAGCCTTATACATTTTAATGAGGCCTGCATTGACTTTGCTCCACGAATCAACACCACTGATGTTCCACAGCTGGTTGGAGTGTTCAGCAAACATGCCGGTTTTCACCTGAAAAATTCAAAATGAGAAATAATTCAAATTTCAGAAGTATAAGAATATTATTTTAGTCCATCTTTTGCTCAAAAGGAACAAAGGAAGATAATGTCACTGTCACGGAAAATTGTCCAATCTCCGGTTAGGGCCCCACCTGTCTAATGTTTCTTATGGGAAAAAGGAAGAATTTTTATTCCATGATTTTATTTTTAGTAAATAGAAGAGTCCCCAAATTAATCAATGTCATTTAGAAACTAAATCAAAGAGGGTAAATTAATTTTGAATAAGTGTCGTTGTTTCATGAACCAAATTAAATTATATCTATCTATATAAGTTTATATGAATTAAATCAAAATAAAATTATAATATTTTTAATCGCATGTAAATTAAATTGGAATTAGTGAAAAGTAAAAAGCGGTAAAAAGTTTTAATAAAAAATACGAATGAAAGGAAAATTAAATATGTTTATACTACATAAACATTAAACTGAAACTATTATTGAAATAGATATTATTAAATTGACTTGATAATAAATTAAAATTAATATCAAACAAAATTATTTCATAATTAAAAAAAAAAATGCTTATATGGACCTTAAACCCATCAAGACCGATGTGGAACATAAGCCCTATGATGATAAAGTTACAAAATTTTTGAGAACAGTTGAGACCCACTGGTCTTGACTGGTCTCGAGCACAGTCTCGATGGGTCAAAAAGGGAGGTGAAGATCAGACAATTTTCCACGACAGTGGCGATAAGTAAACTGTATCAACCTCAAGAATGAACTTGATGCATCCAAAAAATAAGTATTCATTATAGTTATCTTCAACCACAGCTTCAGTTGCCAGCATGCTTGGCTCTATTCGGTGATGACCTGTAAAAGGAAAATGTGTTCTTTTTTTTGTAAATGTTGGTCGGGGGTAGAGAAATCCATACCCATTAGCTGAGAGCTTCCCCAAATGAATGGCACAAACTGGTAGTCATCAAGACTCCACACGCCATGACTTCCAGCTGGTTCCATCCGATATGTCCTTTGGAGCTTTCTTGAAATTTCCACATACCTGATTTTAATGAGTTGTTTTATAAAGAATTGCAGTGAAATAAATTAAAATTAGCAGACCTTTTGAATATCAAGCAAACAGCTGCAGTCTTGTCAGTCTGATCAAGGGCCCCAATTTTGAAGAGACAGCAGAGGAAAAAGAGAAAGGACATTTCATGTCCAGTTCCGTAATCAATCCTGATGTCGTTGCCAAACGCTTGAATCAAGTAAGGGGCAATCTCGGTGATTGTGTTGTGTTTGTTTTCAGGCAACATTTTCTTCAGTTCCACATCAGCGTCCTTAAAAAAAAGATACTTTAACCTATTTCCTGATTATTAAATCTGGAAATAAACCTCGGTCAGTTTTTTAAACCAGGTCTTGAATGCCTTGTTTCCAAAACGCTGGGGTTGGTCGACCGGAGGAATTTCGTCAATCCATTTGTTCAAGGTTTCCATGAGTTCCAGTACATGTTCAACTTTTTGGCTTGCTGGGTTAGCAGAGGAGTTGCTCTTGCCTAAAAATGGTAATGGATTTTTGAGCTAAAAGGGTTTGAAACAAAAATAAAAAACCTATGTATACCTTTCACTGCATCATTCAAAGCATAAATGAATCCCACGTATTCCTAAATATAAAAGACATACATAATTTATACAATTTTTAAAGGTTTATTCCATCAGTCAAATGTTATTACGTGATAAGCCTCTGATTTGGTCCAGGCTGCCATATCCCCCATACCGAGGACCATTTTCCTGGGCACGACATACACATGGTCATCAGGCACTGAAATCATTCGATTGGGAACATTAATTCTGCACAAATACATTTTACACGACATTAAAATTACTTATTTCACTCATTTTCAGATTGTTATGGGTTGTATCGAAGCCAGTCTCAAAGATTCAACACACTACCGGTCCCTTCTTTTGCTTTTGACAGGAGACTTTGTTTTTGTTTTGAAATTGGTGTTTTTTCAAATTTGGCGCCATTTTAGAAAACTGAGCGGACGGAAAGTTTTTGAACTTTCGAACATGTCCGCAGTGACGCCCCCTACGGGTAAAAATTGTTATTATTTCCGGTCTGCCATATTATCACGGGGTAATTCTGGCAGTGTCAGTAATTTTATTCGTAATTACACCCTCATTCCACCGAAATTCCATCACGGGGCTCGTTAAGTAGCAAGTGCGATCTTTGCTAAGTTGAACGACATATCATAAAAGGTGAGAATCCGTCGCTGATTGCAAATTACACGACCGCAAACTCTGTTGTTTTTAATGACGTTTCAAAAAGAAACAAAACTGTTCGCTGTCGAGGAATTCCAAGTGAATCATATAACATGCCACATTTGGCTCAATTAGTTATAGCACCGATCGTGTGACGTGTGAGTCCCGTATTGTTTTTGTGACTGAAAAGTTTCAATTATTTTTGACCTATTTAGAAACGTGTTTATTTTTATTTTCCAAAAAAACAAAACAAAAATAATGGAAATGTAAAGTAATTTTGTTTATTTTATTGATGATATCAAAACATGACGTTCACCTACCCGCATATATTAATAAGATTCTCGATTTCTTGTTTCAGTTCAATATGTCATCCGGGCCTTACAACTATTCCTACATTTTTAAATACATCATCATCGGAGACATGGGCGTAGGCAAGTCCTGCTTGCTACACCAGTTCACAGAGAAGAAGTGTAAGACAACACATTTTATGGTTTAATTAAGTCCTAACTCACCAAATTTAATTATTAGTAAAAAACGTGAGTTGAATTTTATAAAAAAAAATATCTATCTTAAATTTGTTTTATTTAATTTACTTCCAGTAAAAGTGGCAATAAAAAATATGAAAATCTATATTATTTTTCATTTTTTTTAAAATTCACCGCTTCATTAGCTTGTTGTCAAGTTATACAGCTTTTTTATTATTATATTTTATCTTAATGAAAAGATTTTGTTATTTTATGAGAGGAATAATTTAACGGCGGATTAATTATTATTAATTACAATGGGAATTATTTGTAGAATCAATAATATTCTTATTTTGAAACGCACTATTTTTATTTTATCCAGATATGGATTTAATTTGCATTTGTGATTTTTCAGTCATGGCTGATTGTCCGCACACTATAGGAGTAGAGTTTGGAACAAGAATTATTGAGGTGTCCGGGCAGAAAATCAAGCTGCAGATTTGGGACACTGCTGGACAGGAGCGGTTCAGGGCCGTCACCAGGTCCTACTACCGCGGAGCAGCTGGTGCCCTGATGGTTTACGACATCACTAGGAGGTCCACTTACAACCACCTGAGCAGTTGGCTCACAGACACCCGTAACCTCACCAACCCCAGTACTGTGAGTATCAAAATTCTAGCCCAGTGGTTTTTACATTTGACATTATTCAGGTGATATTCTTGATTGGCAACAAGTGCGATTTGGATGCTCAGCGCGACGTCACTTACGATGAGGCAAAGCAATTTGCCGATGAAAATGGTCTCATGTTTGTTGAGGCCAGTGCAAAGACGTGAGTAGTTTTTTTATGCCAAGCTACTTTCACAAATTAAATAATATTTTCTGCTCATATTTAATACCAATCCCTATAAATTTAAACAATTGTTTGTTTTTTGCTTTTTTTCCAATTTGTTTATTGAAATAAATCTGTTCTATTTTTCCTCAGTGGTGAAAACGTTGAGGAGGCCTTTTTAGAAACTGCAAAGAAGATTTTCCAGAGCATCCAGGACGGCAGGTTTGTTTCTTGCAAATTTTCCATTTCTGAATAAGACTATTATACATCTCGTTGTTTTCCTCAGGCTTGATCTAAATGCAGCTGAATCTGGAGTCCAACACAAACCCTCTCAGCCTGGAGGTCGCAACACTCTGGTCAATGATCAGCAAGCCCCTAAGGAAAACTGCTCATGCTAGGTATAGTGCAGGATTTTGGAGATAATTTGTCTCTTTGTTTAGTAATTTATTATTTTTTTCACTCAAATCTTGAATAACTACATAACTATTGCCAAATATACCATTTATTATTTTAATACTGAGAATTTCAGTGAGATTTTTTTCTTCATTTTACCCTTTTTGATTAGTTACTACCTCAATCGATGGGATCTGGGATCAACAGAAAAAGTAAATTTATCACAATTATTGTCAAAATTGGCTCATTTGTCATCATTCTTCTTTCCGATTAAGCAAGTGAAATCCAATAGCTTGTACAATCTAATTTTTTGTCCTCGTTTCATTATTTGAAATGTTTCAAATAACATTATATTTTTCCAACACAACCCAGTTTGATATTTTTCCCTATAATTATAAGTATTTCAATAATTTTTAATAGAATAATTAAAGTTATTCTTTAAATCTCTACAGTGAGCAAAAATCATTCGGAATAATTTAAGGCAATGATTGCTAACTAGAATTTGTTTTTAGGTACATGCAACAAGACTCACTTGCAAAAAACGACCAATACACTAGAATTGATGCGGCAAGGGGAGGTAACATTACTGCTGGCCAGTTCACCTTCCTCAGATCTCAAATTGACTCAATCAGAAGCCACTCTCATGTCGTCAGAACTTGGAACTGGCCAAAGAGAATTCTCGGAAACCAGCCCTCTTTAAAGCCAGAAAAAAATTGGATCGTCAGTCAATCCTTATTGGCTGTCGTTAAAACTACAGAATACAAAGACTCTGTGGATCAGTGGAGCACTAGTTGTCTAGTACTTCGTGTTGGTCGATTGTTCGAACGAATGCCTTGAATTGGTATAAATTCATGAACATGCATATAGCAAGCAACACAGAACACACCGAACAAGTAGACATGCATCGTGTTCGGAGCTTTCTAGAGTTAATTGTCCCTCTTAATTTCGAATCCACCTTTTTGTACAAGCTTCATTCTTTACTCAAAGAAATCTCTTAAATGCTTAAGATTGTAAAATACCTTTTAAGGTTTAAAAATTGATATTCTATTCAACCTGCAGAATTGCAGGAATAAAGTTTAAAAAGTCTTCTTCCTCAAGGGTGCATTCCGTTAGTGACGACACACATTAAATTTTGTGGATTGTGTGAAATCGCCTTCAATTCAGCACTCGATTTTTATCTTTCCCCTTTTGCTTCAATATTTGGTGCTTTTTTGAACATTTCTTTGGTCACATTCCATTTCAATAGTCATCCCCTTACCCAAAAATGTATTGGTACTTCCGTTGCAGGTGTGTCGAGTGAGACTTTTTTGTTGGAATAATTCAAATTATTACATTTCGTTCTAAAAAGATAACGGAAAAATATGGTTTCCTGGTGGTTGCCAGGGTTTATTGTGAAAAGAATGCACACGAAAATCACATTCGCATGTTGGAGGTTACTAAGTGTGGTGAAACGTATAAAAGAATAACTGGTGGTGACCAAAACTGACCTATTTGTAACATTAAACAATTTGCTGTTATAGGCTCTAAGGTAGAGATCATGTAATAAAAATCTAATATATGTCGGTTTGATTGTCAACAGCAAATTAACAAAGCATATCCTGAAAGAAGTAAAAATTTGCAAATGAGAATATTCTATTTTGCGTTGGCATCAGTACTGCAAAGATTTTATATTTGTTGTTGAGGTTCATTTCCTGTGTTAATGTGTACATACTTGCAAGAGGACATTGTCTTGTTACGTCATACAATAATTCTTGAGCTAGTTCAACGAGAGTCAGTCAACGCCCTCGAATAAAATCGTCGGCTTATGATACTGAGATTTTACGATTTATTTGGAATATATATAATATTGTTCGTGACCGCAAGTGATGTTTCGTTTATTTGAAAATGTTCCAAAACATTTCTCACTTATTTTCGTATTCCGTCATCTTGTTTTTAAGCACCACTCAATCCATAGCTGAATTAATTAATTAATTAAATATACAAAGAGTATTCATACTGGATTCTACACCTCTGCTTTTTAATTTATTTTCCAACACCAAAGTCTTTTGTTATTTGCCATTCATATAGTAATAATTCATCCGAGTAAGCTCCATGGAGCTGCTGGGGTCGTGCCTGCTGGCTTGATTGTGTAGATACATCCACCGCTCTCTGCCCGGGCCGTGAAACAAAAAATTGAACAAGCCCCAGGTGCTTTCTCTCCCACGCAACACAGATGAATCAATGCATTTGTTAGGTGCTGAATTATTTTCCGGCATGCCATTACTGCTACGAGCACAATTTGTACTCTTATTGCCTCTTCTGGAGATAAGAAATGTTTATAGGAATAGGAAGTAATTTAATATCAGAGAATCACTCTGTTAAAATATTAAAAGATTACCAGGAAAAAATAGAGTTAAAAATTTAAACTAAGTATTAGCTCAGAATTTTGAACGTGCATCAAAGAGAATAATAAGCTTTTTGAAATTATTTTCAAATAAAATTCATGGCAGAAAATTCGAAAAATGTCAGTAATTATTTTATTTGCCTTTAATGTATTAAAAATGTGCTCAACTTTTCATGTCTAAATGCTTATAGTGAAAATATTGATAATTTTTTTAGAGTAAATTAAGTTGGTTGCTCTAAGTCTACATTTTACAAATTTAATGAAGGATATAATCAAAATAACGTGCATTTTGGTCAGGTACAGCCTTAACCATGTATACACTGTACATTTAACCGGTGACATCTCATTAGAGGTAGAGCGAAGCAGGGTTTGGTGGGTCGTTGGTTCGGTGCGGGGGCTGCAATTATAAGCCGTTTGGAGTCCGGCTGGCAGTCAGAGCCAGCCAGCACCTCTCTCTGCCCACACTGTTCATCGTGTTCACCTGCAAGGCTCCCCGGGCCGTAACCATGGCAACGAAAGCTGGAGCAGCTCTCTCTCTTGGTCTCTCTCTTTCTCCATTCCCTCATCCCTCGTCGTCGTTTTCCCGGCTCGATATGCAACCTTGAACTCATCACGCCCGCCCTGCAATCCGCCTGCTCCTTGAGTAACAGCAAACGCGCTCTTTATATCTTTTCTTCTCCGCAAATAATATTCTTTTTCGGGCCCCAGCGGCCAAATAACGCTTTTTATGTACGCACATTTATTCTTCTCCAATGGGTGGTATCTAAATTTTAACTATGCCAAAATGCAGCCAATGCTACATTCAGTCTGCGTACAAATTTTAACTGTCTTAAAATGGTGAAATGTTGTGCTAATTTCTGTAGATAATTAAAAAAAAAAAAAACAATTGGAGAGAAACATAATTTTGAAAATAAAAATTGATATTGATAAATCCATATTACGTCAAAAAGCTTCAATCATTTATTTTTTAATGAATCATAATTAAATTTGTTTTATTTGTACTTTTCCAGGCGCATACCATATATTTATTATATATTTATTATATATTATATTTTTAAATTATACGAATTGTAGTTGGATGAATTAAAAATTATTATAGTTTTCTTGTAAAATTTTAGCAATGTGTTTAAACACTTATTTACCATAATTAATTAATTCTGAATTTTTATATTTATATATTTTTTTTTTGTACAGGATGATCGCAATAGATTATTTTATTTTTTCCTCGCTCCCTAGTCGTTTGTGAAGTTATGCAACTGTTTTGTCGTGCAGGTTGTACATGTTGCCTATGCATGTCGTTTCGCAGGCGCTGCTCTATCGCTAGCTCTCTCTCCCGACACGACTAGTCTCTAATGCCCAGACCGCCTTCGTCGTCACATTACGGCAAGAGAGAGGAAATTTATTTCAATATACCATTTTTCCATTACCGACGTCCGCCAATTCTTGCTACTGCTCCTCCTGCCATAAGAGGACATAATTTTTCATCTCCCTGGGAAAATGAAATAGCGTCTCGACGCGAGCTAGGGAGCGGATGCAGCAGCAGGGACGAGAAAGGAGAGGGATGAGAGTAAAGTTGCGACGGATGATGTTTGAAGAGGCAGCACCCCGGGGCAAAAGAGATTGGTCCTATCAGGGAGGTATAACTTCTACTGTTTGTGCATTAACGAGTTTTCCTCTGCAGCTTCAACAACAAAAATTGCTGATGGAAAATTGATAATAAGCTGTTTACACTTCATATTTTTCGCAAGTACGTTAAACCGTTTTTAGATTGTGAATCGTGAATTATGTCGTATTATTTAATAAAATATTTATATAATAATACAAATGAATAAATATTTTATAATGATAGTTATTAATGTTGTATTAAATGTTATGAAAATGCACAGTTTATCAAATTAAAAAAGATCCTATGAGTTTTTTTTCATTATATAAACTTTTGCTGATCAGAATAACCTTTTTATTTTTGGGTTTCCTAAACCAAAACAGTTCACATCATCATCATGTTATGCAAGGTGAAACAAATTTAGCCAAAATTGTAAAATATGATTGCAGCTTGTAACAAAACGATATATAATAAGGCTATTACTATTCATTCATCTCCTTGATTGAATAACAATTAATGTTTTATAACCCAGTTATGCGTTTGATATAATAGAAAAAATTGATATCAGTAGCATTTCTATACTTGGTAAAAGAAAATTGCAAACAAAAGAGTGTGGAGGACCAAATAAAATTTTCAATTATAAATTTAATAACTCTGGTCCTCGATGCCAATCGTCTCAAGTGGCAGAAAAGGTCACGGTGTGGATAAATGAGGCGACTCTTTAATTTTGCACCACAGTATTGTTCAAGTTGGGCCTCTCCTCTAGCTAGGAAGGGAAAAGAGAAGGGTCGTTGGTGTGTGTAGTGTAGAGTAATGCAAGATTCATTCGGGCAGTCCCGCGCAGTCTCCGACCCGTGGCAGCTCCAGCAGCGCGGCGGTAGCTCTATGTACATATCATCATCTTACACCACGCTTATTGCAGCATCCCAAAAAAGCTCCAGAGCGGGCGCCATTTTGCCAATCGATGTTGTAGTACGCCATAAAAGCGGTCGGTCTGCCTCTACTGCCGAGGAAAACCTCCGCCCGCCGTACCAAAGCCTCTCTTTCTCCTCATCTCCTGCTCGCTCGCAGAACAATAGCCATTGCGAGCTGTGTTTTGCCCCAGTTTACAATTCCTAGCCGATTTATGGTGCCTCGCTCTGGACTTCCAAGGGAGCATAAAAAGGGCAGACAGGCTACGCTCATTGTGTGCTTTGCCACAGGAGACTGTTAGTTAACCTAGAAAGAGAGAATGCGTTTCATTGCAAGTCAAAGTCTTTAAGTGCACATCGAAAGAGATTCTTGCAGTTTTTTCTTTAATTAATAACTGAAATAAATTACATTTGATCAAATTTAACACAAAGCTCATTTTTTTAGAGAAATTTCGTCATAAAATAACATTGCATGGCATTTAAAATGCCCTTATTTGAGGAAGAAATGCAATAATTCGAAAAGCAAAAGAATTATTACCTGAAAATTATTACTATTAATTATTTTAAATTCTTCAATTAAATATTTGAGAGTTATTAAATATTTTCAGAGTACAATTTTTGAAAGTGTCATTTATTGAATTTTTTCTTTTGCTGTTTGATTTGTAGAGCTAAAATCAATCTCATTCGCAGCGGGGGAGTCGCGTTTCCCCGCAACAGGAGATTAACTTTTGCCGAAATTCTCGTTTCATCTCATAGGACTGAATTCGTAAATAAATAAAGCAAATGAAAAGAGTACTTAATTCCGCAGACCGCACAGTGGCAGACTTTTCCTCTGGCAGTGCAATACACAAAGGAGCCGATTTCAATGAATTTTATATCAGGACTTGTGAGTTATGACGAGAGATAGAAGCCTTCATTTGCGCCGGTTGAACTCTCGCCGCAAATAATGCAAATTCGAGCTGCACATCGAAATACTCTGGCGGTTTTGGTCTTTAGAGAGAGCCCAGACCGACAAGAGAAAATTTGATAAAACTAGTTTTTAATCCTATTTGCAATTCAAGTTTCTCTCTCTATGTGAATAATTGACGAGAGAGAGGAAGAGCGTGCGGCAGTCGTGCCTAATTTCTCTGCCTCCGACAACAAAAGGGGTTGCGAGCAAGCAAGAGAGAGATTCGATTTCGCTCCCTCAGCACCCCCGAACTCAAAGCGACTCATTCTCGCTTTTTCATTTCATCCCTCCTCCCTGAGCATGCACTTGTATTCAAATCCAAAAAATGCATTGTGCGGACTGTACGCCTGCATTTAAGAGTCCCTGCATTTCCCCGTGGAGATAAGAACAGGGGCAGGCAGACACCCCCGGGCTAGCTGCTGCAGGAGGAAGGAACGCTCGCAAGAGAAGGAGCGACAACCCTCTCATCGTCCGGAGTTTGTTTCCGCTGCTGCCGCCGGCGAGCGTGTCCTGGGATTTTCAGTGCAAAGCTCAGGCTTTGGACGGCTCAAATTTAACTCAATCCTTCTGCGGTTTTGTCATTTAAGAATTTCCAACTTGTAATTAGAAAGAGAGGAAATGGAGGTTAAATTTTTAGCATATTTTAATTCTACTTTTGGAAATTATGCACCAACGTTGGGTAAAATAATACAAGTGGTATTGTTAATTTGGTCATGTTATAATAATTTATTTACTCCCTATTTCAAAATTAAGAATAAAAAAACTTTGACTTTACATACTTTTAAATTTTAATTTGTTATATTTTTATTTTAACCTTCTTTGTTGATATAATAAATGCATTGAAATTTGAAGATTAATAATCAGTTTGAAGTAAAATAAATAATAACTTAAAACGTAATTACATGTATACAGAAAATTTAAAAAAAAATCACAAGATCTTATTGTTAGTTAGTATTAGTAAACAATTTATTTACTTTTTACCTTCTTTGTAAAAAAAATATTTTTTTTTTTAATTTTTTATGTTTTTTTTCTAGCTAAATTAAACTTAAATTTAACATAATAATTATTGCAACTCTTTCATTGTTTTATGGCTTGCTTTGCTATTAAATAGAGTGCACTCGGACGTAATTCACCAATTTACAATCGGGTCCAGAAAATAGA